TCAAATAATTAAGATGAAAGAAATGTTCGGTGACTTAAGGTGTGGTATTCTTTCTGTAGTTGGAATCGTACAATGAATCTGATTTTGAGCCGAGATTTCATCTCATTATGGAAATCATTTTGCCACTTTTATTCATTATTTTGTACTAAGTAAGAGACTTGGTATTGGTCAATAAATTTCCAGAAAATTTCATGAAGTAGTTCATTCATAACCTTGGCAGTTGTAATGCTTCCAAAACTGAAGAAATGATTTTCAATGAGACATTTAAGTTCAAATTCAATACAAACTGATTAGAAAGTCAGTGGGTTATGAACTAGAAATGACATATGAGTCTACAATATATTATTGAGTTATTTCATTATGGAACATTATGCTGGTGCCATGTAGCAAGTGCTTTATACAAATATTCATGGTAATTGAAAATGCTGTGTTTGGACTACAGAAGCCAGCTGGTGCAGCTGTATATTATTGAGACAGATTGCCTGTATATATGACTCACCTGACAGCCCGTGGAACACTGTGGAACATTGTATACTTCATATAGCTTGATTGAAGTATAAACATCATAACACGTGGCTGTCAAGAGATTACAACAGATAATTTATGACACTGGTTCTGTATTGATAAAAACTGGTTAAACGTTTATCTTGTTTACCATGAAAACAAACTGTTTCCTATTTCTCAGTACTAACAGTGTTACAAGCCTCCTATCATATATGTTTCATCAAAGTTCAATGTATCTTTCTTTGAAATACATGTACATAGAACACATGAACTTTGGAGTAGAGTGTGTTCATAAATTATGTAACATCCAAGATCCCAGATGCCTATAGTGCGTTTGGCTCAAAAGCGGACCGATGAATTGCAATCTAACTCAAAAACTAATAAACATATAATACTCAATGAAACGCTGATCATAATCAAAACATCAGACCAACTCTGTGATTTGTTTGCAGAATTTATGTCCTAAAATTTAAAAAGTTGTTTAACAAACTATCATTAAAATATTGACACAGTTCACTATTTGTTACGAGTGAGGAGTGCAGAGAAAGGGACAGCCAGGTGTTAAAGAAGCACGTGCACAAGTGCCGACAAAGTTATTGATTCATTAACCTGTGCTGTGCCGTCTCCTTCCTTTCTCGCACACCCGGCTGTCCCTTTCTCTGCACTCCTCCCTCGTAACAAATAGTGAACTGTGTTGATATTTTAATGATAGTTTGTTAAACAACTTTTTTATTTTTAGGACATAAACTCTGCAAACACCTCTCAGAGTTGGTCTGATGTTTTGATTATGATCAGTGTTTCATTGAATATTTTATGTTTATTAGTTTTCTAGTTAGATTGCAAATCATCGGTCCGCTCTTGAGCCAAACGGACTATAGCTGGGTGGATAGCATTCTGGACGGGAGTGAGTGAATGTTGTTTTGTGATGTCTGAAATATTCACAGTGATCTGCAGTTGATTGCATCAGCAGTCACCCTTGTAGTCAGGGACTGATGGCACATCATCCATCAAGTCAGTGACCACCCAGTCCTTAGTCCCTGTCTACTGCAGATGATGTGTCACAGTAGATGTAACGTTGGTGTTACTGTAGATGATGTTGAGGTGCCACAGTAGACGTAACGTCGGTGTTACTGTAGATGATGTTGAGGTGCCACAGTAGATGTAATGTCGGTGTTACTGTAGATGATGTTGAGGTGCCACAGTAGATGTAACGTTGGTGTTACTGTAGATGATGTTGAGGTACACGGTGTAGATGATGTTGAGGTGCCACAGTAGATGTAACGGGTGTTACTGTAGATGATGTTGAGGTGCCGCAGTAGATGTAGTGTCGGTGTTTGTGTGGTAGGGTTGTACAGAGCAACAGAAATGTGTTATGTCTCTCCCCCTATCACACTGGTAGGTAGCTAACATGACACCATTGTTCTACAATGTACATAGACCTCCATTGTTCATGACCTTTTCAGTGAATATGGACTAATGTACAATAGCTAGTTATAGTGTCAGTTTTAGTGGTTAAATACTTCTCATGTATGCCTCACCCATATCTATTGTGTTGTGTAGAGAGGTTAATTAACCTTGTGACATTGTTAACAGCATCCAACAGGACTCTGTCATGATGATTTAAAAATGAACGAATGTCTGTCTTTATAAAATATTTATTTTGCTACTTTTGACATTGTTTCCAAGTATCACAGTCAAGCGTAATTATGCTCTTTTCAACGCACCCCATGAGGAATGTTGCTGGTTCTCATGTGTAATATGTGACTGTTGGTGCCACGGACTGAATACACTGGAAATTACACACGCACCACATCCAGTATTGACAAGGTGCCATTGTTCCAATGTCAGGTGTAGTTGTGTGGCTATAGCAACTGCTCCCTTGATTGTCCTCTACCCTTGTCTTTAACCATACCCCAGTATTGCTCTCTAGAGAATTGTGAACAACTTGTTCCCGGTATACCTATTGACAATTTTAGTTTAAGGACTTCCTTAATCAGCGAAAAAAAGAGAGATTGTCGCTATCAATAAAGTTTTAATCACTGGTAATCTTGACTGTGAGTGTAGAGATTGTAATGCAGCCAATCAGATTCCGGTATTCCTGGGTGGTGATTGGCACGTGTGTGATCCCGGTGCCACTGACTTACTGGGTTGCCAGCTGCCTGCCACCAGAGGTGGAGTCAACCGTCCTGTCTGGCAAACCTCCAACAGCTGGTCAACATCTACTGGCTTCTAGCGGGCAACATAAACTATGCTCACCCCTGCTTACACTGTTAACCAATATCTTGGTAAATTTCTAAAATGTCTTAATCAATATTTCCGGGATTGATGTTTTATATGCACTAAGCATGTTGATATTGACAGCTGTTATGTACAACAGTGTCACTGGAGTGTGGACACATTTATAGTATCAAACTGAAAATAGAATATTGCGCAAAATTTCTTAACATGGAATCCAAAGCTGAAAGAAAAATCACTTTATCTTTATGTGATCAGTTTTAGAAAACACTACCACCAATAGCTAAAAACATTAGGCATTGAATTGAGTGACATATCCAGAGTCATAGCACTTTGTGTGTACTCCACTTCAGCTCACGATGTCACACATTCACAGTTCTATACATAGGTGCCACCCGTATAGCTATGACGTCTTCCTGGTAATCAATCTGGCCACTTGAAACCCTGTAGGAGAGTGTTTAATGAAAGTTACATTTAAGTACATTAACACCATATTGTCAAGCTGTGTGGGTCAGTATTTCTGTGAATAACTAGGTGTTACACACTCTATGGCCACCAGTGATATTAATCAGTGATCAATGCTTCTAATGGTGAGGTTGTTTTTTGTATTGATTGCTTAGTGTGAAATGGTTACAGGTATAAAGGAGGTAGCATATGTTCAGGTCATAAGAAAACAATGTGTATTCCAGGAAAGTGAAGACAAATATTTTGATCTGTAAGGAGTCGGAGTGAGTAAGTGTTTTGGTGAAATGACTTTTCAGTAATATCTTTTAGAATTTACGATGTCATCTGGTGCAGGTGCTGAATCTGTTATGTTGGAATTCTATGGCATCAAATATTAGTTGTTTCCTATGTATTTAAGGAATAGGTGAGTGAATGTTGTTTTGTGGCACAGCTAGGATTCATACACAGTTTTTAAAGTTATGATGCTGTCCTGCGATTGATGTAGGAGGTGATTCTGAGCCAGAAACTCACTGGCCATTCTGGATGTATTACCAATATATATATATTGATGGTACAGAATAATCTCTATAATCAGATAAACAGGTGGCATGAAATGAGTTTATGAAGTCTGTAAATGATGGTAAAGACCAAAATGCAAGATGCAGTGAAGTATCCACACAACCCATGCTTGTGATAGAGGCAACTGATGGGATTGGGTGGTCAGACTTGCTAACATGGCTGATACATCTCATTGTATCCCCAATACAGAGATCAATACTCACGATGACAATCACTGGATTTTCTGGTCTTGATTATCTGTGTTATTTCAATGCTACCATCATTTTCTGACTGTGACATTACACTACAGGACTCAACCGGAGTCCATGTTAGTTACAGGAGAACATAGAATTGATTTATTAAGAGGACTGTGGCAAGTTGTCCCAGAAAGTCTCATCCCAAGGCTTTAGTCTACACACTGTCTCCCACACTACAGCCTCCTTGATGAGTGCAACAATAGGTATAAAATGTATCCCACAATAGCCCCTGCCTCGCTTGTTGAACAGTATAAGTGTACAATAATGGTATAATGTGATTGTCATACATACACAGAGCCAAATCCTTGTCAGCCACAATAATGGTAGAATGTGATTGTCATACGTACACGGAGCCAAGTCCTTGTGAGCCAATGTCTGCAGCAAGCCGTAGCCAGTACATATACAATGAGATAATAACAGACAAAACCAGCACATATGAATGATGTATTGGGTGTTGATGTTGGTGCTTCCCCATGAGATATTGGTTATATCCAGTGGCATGGGAAAACAGCTTAGTTGACGCAATTGGCAGGTAACTCAGTGAGATCAAAGATATTAATGCACATTTCATAATGTATGAAAAATAATAATTTTTAATGTAAAGGTTGCCTATCTGAACATTATTTCCATCTATCAGGAAACTTGGTGTAGCCAGATGGTTAAAGTGTTAGTGTGGCTCATCAAGATATTGGTTCCTCTTCCAATGTAGGTTTGAAGGTTATTCATAAAGCTTTGTTGTGTGACATGATGGTGAAATACTGTTAAATGTGGCATTAAGACCTCAGAAACATCCACGCTATGTTGTTTTAAGTTGTTGAAGCAGGACCTAGGTGCACAAGTTGGATGTCAGTGTCAAGATAAGCCACTAAGCTGAAGTACCATAACCATACTAGATACATAAAACTGAACAAACATGTGTTTTAGAAATCAGATTGTACAGTTTGTATTACTTCTCTCTTAACCAGTTGCTACAGACTGTATAACGTTTGACCTCTGTTGCAGGTGACAAGGGAGCCCAGGCAAAGCAGACCAAGATGGCCCTTGCGGTGCGGGCAAGTGAGGCTGAGGATGGGGTGGAGGACATGATCAAACTCAGGTAAACTTTTCGAATACATCCATATGTCAATACAACAATACATCAATACATCAAAGTTTGTAGCACTCGTGGCAGACTGGAACATAGGTCAGGAAACAAGATGCCTTATATGAAGCCTGATATGTTGACATTATACTAGACATGTCACCACTGAGATGTACCAACAGCAGATGTTAAAGCTGTCTGTCCCAAATACTGATCCAAGAACACTGCAGACCTACCCTGATCACATGCTGCTTGTAGGCAGCTATCACACAGGAATTCATGTGAGCCACTGAGGATTAAGTTGGCAGACACCAAGGGCTCTAACTGTAATACCGGTGACCTCCCAGATAGACATGTATGATCTCTACAGTCTGCCAACAAATGTTCTAACTGGTTAGCTCTGGTGTACATCTTTCTTCACCAGAATGGTTTTGTTAATTGACCATGGATTTCAATCTGTTCTCCTGGATGCAGGTCACAGGTTAAACATTAACAGTGACGGAGCTCTAAAGTTTCCAAACATGACATTTGGATGTTTGTTGCTGGGCAAGTTCTAACAGTATGTGCTGCTGATGAAATGAGAAATAATCAAAAGACTAAGTTATTCAAGTCTGGAAGAGGCACATCCTCATTGATAACTAGAACACCATATATTTAAACCCTCTTTAAAACTATCTAGCTCCCTTATCTCAACTGGTTTTTCTGGTTAAGTCATGGAACCAAACAACTTCAGATTTGAAAGCAAAATGGGAGATAATCTTGCACCACAGGCTAACGTCACTGGCCTCTTACCTGCTTGAGGGTGTAGTGTCGGTTGTGGGGAAATGGCAGGATTAACTAGATCTTCTTATAAAGACATCAAAAGAACCTTTGGTCTCAACTTAATATTTGTTTGTAGTCCCCTCTTCAAGCGTGTCAAACATGCATTATGTCCCGTCCTTCAGCCAGACCCTTTAATGTTGGACAGTTGGCCAGTCAAGGGGAATGTTCAGTCAGCTGGAGAAATGAATGGTGTAGTTGTGTAAATGTATGAATGTCAGTGTGTGTCGGGGTCTGCCGTGTGTGTGTGGGTGGGGTGGTGGTTGGGGGGAGAATAGTCTGTCCTGATGACTTGCATGGCACATTGTGGAATCACCAGTGTCAAGGGGGACACAGCCCCCATTCTATAACATAGATTGGTTATACATGGAGAGCCCTTTATCGCAGTAACATGGGTCTATGTAGGTTATAACTGTTATATGACTGTTATCTGCAGAGAGTATAACATTGAGCTATATCATGCCTCCATCTACAGCTTTTATATACTGTAGTTACATGTAGGCTATAGATGATAATCACAAAGATATGTAGGTTATAACTGTTATATGACATAGATCTGCAGAGAGTATAACATTGAGTTATATCATGCCTCCATCTACAGCTTTTATATACTGTAGTTACAGGTAGGCTATAGATGATAATCACAAAGATATGTAGGTTATACCTGTTATCTAACATAGATCTGCAGAGTATAACATTGAGTTATATCATGCCTCCATCTACAGCTTTTATATACTGTAGTTACATGTAGGCTATAGATGATAATCACAAAGATATGTAGGTTATAACTGTTATATGACATAGATCTGCAGAGAGTATAACATTGAGCTATATCATACCTCCATCTACAGCTTTTATATACTGTAGTTACAGGTAGGCTATAGATGATAATCACAAAGATATGTAGGTTATACCTGTTATCTAACATAGATCTGCAGAGTATAACATTGAGTTATATCATACCTCCATCCACAGCTTTTATATACTGTAGTTACATGTAGGCTATAGATGATAATCACAAAGATATGTAGGTTATAACTGTTATATGACATAGATCTGCAGAGTATAACATTGAGTTATATCATACCTCCATCCACAGCTTTTATATACTGTAGTTACAGGTAGGCTATAGATGATAATCACAAAGATATGTAGGTTATAACTGTTATATGACATAGATCTGCAGAGAGTATAACATCGAGTTATATCATACCTCCATCCACAGCTTTTTATATACTGTAGTTACAGGTAGGCTATAGATGATAATCACAAAGATATGTAGGTTATACCTGTTATCTAACATAGATCTGCAGAGTATAACATTGAGTTATATCATACCTCCATCCACAGCTTTTATATACTGTAGTTACAGGTAGGCTATAGATGATAATCACAAAGATATGTAGGTTATACCTGTTATCTAACATAGATCTGCAGAGTATAACATTGAGTTATATCATACCTCCATCCACAGCTTTTATATACTGTAGTTACAGGTAGGCTATAGATGATAATCACAAAGATATGTAGGTTATACCTGTTATCTAACATAGATCTGCAGAGTATAACATTGAGTTATATCATACCTCCATCCACAGCTTTTATATACTGTAGTTACAGGTAGGCTATAGATGATAATCACAAAGATATGTAGGTTATACCTGTTATCTAACATAGATCTGCAGAGTATAACATTGAGTTATAACATCGAGTTGTCATACCTCCATCCACAGCTTTTATATACTGTAGTTACAGGTAGGCTATAGATGATAATCACAAAGATATGTAGGTTATACCTGTTATCTAACATAGATCTGCAGAGTATAACATTGAGTTATATCATGCCTCCATCCACAGCTTTTATATACTGTAGTTACATGTAGGCTATAGATGATAATCACAAAGATATGTAGGTTATAACTGTTATATGACATAGATCTGCAGAGTATAACATTGAGTTATATCATACCTCCATCCACAGCTTTTATATACTGTAGTTACAGGTAGGCTATAGATGATAATCACAAAGATATGTAGGTTATACCTGTTATCTAACATAGATCTGCAGAGTATAACATTGAGTTATATCATGCCTCCATCCACAGCTTTTATATACTGTAGTTACATGTAGGCTATAGATGATAATCACAAAGATATGTAGGTTATACCTGTTATCTAACATAGATCTGCAGAGTATAACATTGAGTTATATCATACCTCCATCCACAGCTTTTATATACTGTAGTTACAGGTAGGCTATAGATGATAATCACAAAGATATGTAGGTTATAACTGTTATCTAACATAGATCTGCAGAGTATAACATTGAGTTATATCATACCTCCATCCACAGCTTTTATATACTGTAGTTACAGGTAGGCTATAGATGATAATCACAAAGATATGTAGGTTATACCTGTTGTAGAGCCATTTTCTGTGAAAAGAAGACTGGAGGGTGTTGAATGAAATGTCTTAATATTCATTGCATGGGTGCAGTCTTTTCTATTCATGTCCTGAAGCATGAAGTGATGATGGCTCATCTCACCTCTATAATGTCTTTCTGTTGACAAAACACCTGCCTTAACTGATTTGTAATATAGTTGGTCGATCACATGCTGCTGAAGATTATGTAGACACAGTCTTCTAACCCCAAATATTCTTTTTTAACATCACTTTAGGTGTATGTTCTTATATATTTGGAATTGATTAGATTAGATATTCTGAACAAATAAGTTGTAGATAATGAAATTGAGTGGCCAGTCTTCAGCACAAAAGAATGTGCCCCCGTGGTACCCAGCACTTTGTGCCCCCATGGTACCCAGCACTTTGTGCCCCCATGGTACCCAGCACTTTGTGCCCCATGGTACCCAGCACTTTGTGCCCCCGTGGTACCCAGCACTTTGTGCCCCCGTGGTACCCAGCACTTTGTGCCCCCATGGTACCCAGCACTTTGTGCCCCCATGGTACCCAGCACTTTGTGCCCCCGTGGTACCCAGCACTTTGTGCCCCCATGGTACCCAGCACTTTGTGCCCCCATGGTACCCAGCACTTTGTAGGTTAGATGTCCCTGGCTTGTTTTATGTCTATTTTCCACTGTCTAATTTCAGTGTAGTCCTCCCAGCTGGGAATGACAGGACTTCTCACCCATGTTGTCCCTCCCAGGGGATATTTCATTTCACCCATGTGAGGTGCTGTCCCTCCCAGCTGTGGAACTTACTGCCATGTTGAGGGTATTTCACCCATGTGAGGTGCTGTCCCTCCCAGCTGTGGAACTTACTGCCATGTTGAGGGTATTTCACCCATGTGAGGGTATTTCACCCATGTGAGGTGCTGTCCCTCCCAGCTGTGGAACTTACTGCCATGTTGAGGGTATTTCACCCATGTGAGGTGCTGTCCTCCCAGCTGTGGAACTTACTGCCATGTTGAGGGTATTTCACCCATGTGAGGTGCTGTCCCTCCCAGCTGTGGAACTTACTGCCATGTTGAGGGTATTTCACCCATGTGAGGTGCTGCTGTGGAACTTACTGCCATGTTGAGGGTATTTCACCCATGTGAGGTGCTGTCCCTCCCAGCTGTGGAACTTACTGCCATGTTGGGTATTTCACCCATGTGAGGTGCTGTCCCTCCCAGCTGTGGAACTTACTGCCATGTTGAGGGTATTTCACCCATGTGAGCTGTGCTGTGGAACTTACTGCCATGTTGAGGGGTATTTCACCCATGTGAGGTGCTGTCCCTCCCAGCTGTGGAACTTACTGCCATGTTGAGGGTATTTCACCCATGTAGGTGCTGTCCCTCCCAGCTGTGGAACTTACTGCCATGTTGACACTCATGTGAGTGGGTGCTGTCCCTCCCAGCTGTGGAACTTACTGCCATGTTGAGGGTATTTCACCCATGTGAGGTGCTGTCCCTCCCAGCTGTGGAACTTACTGCCATGTTGAGGGTATTTCACCCATGTGAGGTGCTGTCCCTCCCAGCTGTGGAACTTACTGCCATGTTGAGGGTATTTCACCCATGTGAGGTGCTGTCCCTCCCAGCTGTGGAACTTACTGCCATGTTGAGGTGGTATTTCACCCATGTGAGTTGCTGTGCCCTCCCAGTTGTGGAACTTACTGCCATGTTGAGGGTATTTCACCCATGTATTTCACCCATGTGAGGTTGCTGTCCCTCCCTCCCAGCTGTGGAACTTACTGCCATGT